GGATTCAGGGAGGCTGGACTGCCTCACCCGCTACCCAAGACAGGCGATGGCCCTAGCGAAGAGTGCTCCTCGGGAATCCACACACACACACAACAACAACAACAACAACAACAACAACAACAACAACAACGACAACAATGACAACAACAACTGCAGCAGCAGCAACAACAACAACAACGGTGTTTGGGTTTGTGCGCCTGATCGAGTAACTTCTCTCTGAAGGTCCGGATAACTTGCTACCTTTTCCAATTGGAGAGCTGTACGTCATGTAGAGTGTAGAATTCTGTGGCCTACAGTATAGTAAGTAATGAGGTCTGGTCATCAAGTTCGCTACAATAGTTGTTGTACAAATTGTATGTCTTTTTTTTCATACTGTTTTAAAACTATAGTATGTCTAATTGTGTATATCTGTCACTCTGTACTTTTTCACTTTTTCTGATATAATATTATGGACTGTTATGCTCCTATAATATGAATATGAAGCCATTTCGCCTAAAAGCATTGCATTATCTTGAATGTTTTCACAGATAAAAATACTACTAATGTAAAAAAAAAAAAAAAAAAAAAGTAGGGCCTACATGTATTTTAAAAGTTTACACGAGACGGGTGCATGAGTAAACAACAACAACAACAACAACAACAACAAAAATAACAACAACAACAACAACAAAAATAACAACAACAACCATCCAACCCTGGTACGTCATGATCATGGGGGCTCCAGTGGCTGAGTAGTGAGTTTAGACTCAAGTAATGTCAAGCAAGTATCGGAAACGGGGATTAGAAGGGTGGTCACTGGGATGTGTCCTTGAGCAAGACACGACAACCCTAGCTCAAAATACAGGGCGCTGCATTATGGCATGGTTGTAAACTGTTCTGTATTTGTGTAATATTGTGTATGTATTTGTGCATGTATTTATGTATGTACTTATTTATAATTATGTATTTAAATATGTATGCATGTTTGCCATTGTAAACCAACGTGCCCTTCTGGGACAAATAAAAGTGTAATTTATTATTAT